TTTTGCAGAACTGCTTCTCCTCGCATTCCGATGTTTGGGCGTTCGCTGTGTGCTGTTGGGAGATAACCGAGACTTCCTGCACAAGAATACCATTTGAGACTTTTTCGAATTCCGATCTTGTCACAAATGCTCAGCTCATGCTCAGCGGACAAGAAGATGCGGTAAGTCATCAAACTACCTTTTGCAATGAGTTGCCGTTGAACTGATGTATAATTTTCTGGCTAATTTTTGGGAGTTTACAGGTTGTACCGTTGTTCACAGAAAGTGTCCCTCGAGGAATTCGTGATGTATTTGTTCGATGTTTCGAGGTAGAACCTCCAGCCCGTCCCCTATTCTCTCACATATCGTACTTTATGAGCAAGTATCACGCATCGTTTGATTGATGTGTTCAATGGCAATCTCTCGGAAACAGGAGAGCAAAGCTTTCAAATGTGATTCTCATCAGTGAAATTCCTTGTATTTAACTTGCCGATTCTTCGCGCAAATATCTAGGATCTTTCATATCAAGCTTTGAACGACTTGCGCCCGGTTTGGTGCGTTAAGAGCCTCTCTGCAAGGCTGAGGGGAAACCTAACTTTTGTTCTAATTTCTATGGTTTGCAGCAAACATTATATCAAGTGGGTATGCATAGCCGCTATCTCTAACTCGCTTACAATCCGGTGCAGGTCGTATCCTTCTCTTCCACCAGTTCCTAGTCATAAATCAGACTAGGATTTGTTAATTTTAAATGTAAAACGGTGCCTTACCGTTTCATCACTCGCCTCAACCCTCTAAACTATCCGTTGCATATTCCCACTTCTTTTTATGTGGAACTATGTCACTGTGTGTGGACTGCCAAGTTTTGCAACGCTCACCTTCAATATGCTGCTATCATGTCATTATGCGGTTATACACATTCAACTAGCATAGATAGTATTAAATAGTATTACTATTCGCACAATTTTCCCTTTTTTCTCCTCACGTGTACGTTTTGTTTCAGAATTTCGAGGCAAGCACTCGCCGAAAGGCCCTAAATGCAATACGAGTATTGTTTGTAAGGATACTTTACTTCTTGATGAATGAATCTTGTTATCGAC